ATAATGAAATGAAGGAAGACACAGTTTAAAGCTGGCGATAGACAGAGCAATTTACTTTCTTGCCACCATTGGTTGCAGGAAAAAATAAATAAAAATCGGTCGAATCCTCAATTAACACAGTTTGTGTTGATAAGGGAATCCCTCCCGTGCAACCACTCTCCTGGTGGAAGAACACAGTGATTACTGCAAGCAGCAATGATAGCCGCTAGTATAATATTCAAGTGTAAAATCCAGGAGGCTGGTTGTACATAAGATGATGGATCGTTCTGCCTTTACAACCATTTTAATCTAGCCAGGCCTCATATCAGAAAAAAACTTCTGAAGGAAATGCTTGGAACCTTGCACAGACATTTACTGGTTCATAAATGGTTTATCCATTTTATTAAAAGAGAAGTGCAGGATGAGCTGCTGCTAAGAGCTTTGGCCATACTTTTCCTTTAACTTATCTTAGGTCATTTCTCACAAACTAAATATTGAATTGGAGCACATGTATTAAAAGTGTTCTCTTCCTATTGCCAGAAATCAGATTTCAGATGTCAGTCTTCCTGTAAAGGTTGTAAAATGGGAAACATGCTTTTTCGATTCATCTCTAGTGTTTATATGGTATATCAATCCCATGAGGAGGACAGTTCAGTCCTCTCCATGCCAAAACACTGAATGAAAGGAGGTTATAAGCTATTATGAAAATATTATATGACTTCAATGATTAATATAAGCAATACATAGGCTGTAAAGTAGGAAGTGGTGACAGTGTTTTATGGTAAAGCAGAACAATAAAACCCAAAGGGGAATACACAAATGCACAAACCAAATTATTCTTGCAAAATGTATTAAAAATCAATATGTAGAAATAATAAAACAGTTATTATGTTGCAAGCTATAAAGAGAATTTCCAATGAAGAAAGATTCATGGGCATGGAATAAAGGTTTCATGTTGCATAGCTTTCCATAGGAATATTGATTTCACACAAATAATGTATTATCTGAAAACGTGCACTAGCAGCAACAGTAGCAGAAAAAGCAGTCAGCCTGGGAGTCTCTGAAATCTAGGGTTAAACTTCTCCAAGTAAGATTATAAATAAGCTCGGCTACAGACCTTGGGGCATCGGTTGCATTACCAGAGAAATGTCATGGAAACAGCAAAAAAAATGGCCACTTTCTAGAAGAATAAGCAATCAAGATCTCGCTAGAGAGAGCAGGTGCTCTACACATGGAGGTCAGGCGGTTGCAAAAAATTATGTAAGAATTAATAAATCAATTTGCTTTCAACAATTGTCCTTTCCTTGAGTCTCCTAATCCTTCAAAGATGTGTATAACAATTACATGAAACAATGCAACACTGCTTTACCAGAAGGTGCCCTTTATGTGGATTCAATTACACCATGATTGTTTTTTGGAAAATATACACATTTCTATCTTATCTGTACAAAAAGAATGATAAGGCTTTCCAAGTAAATGCAAACAAGCCATCAGCAAATATGATTATTTAAAGGACAATGTAGACAAGAAAAGAAGTAACTAGATTTAGGTGTAGCAATGAGCCCTTTCAGGGGCTGCTGGCTCCCCTGGCTTCCTTATGATAACCTGTCTGCAACTACACCCATGCAACTCACTGACCCTCCAACAGCAACATATGAAAAGACTTCACATTTTAAAGTGGGGTACACACTATGAGAAAATCAGAAGAGTAAAAAAACATTCTGCACAAGGAACGTTCATTCGATTTTCACATAATATGTACACAACTTGCCACATCCGATTCAGCTTTTCAAAATGAAAATTTCCAAAAAAGGGACAAACTCCAAAATCTTTCTCATATGTATAGAGAACTAATGGTTTTTTGTTTCATGTGTACTTTTTTCATACAAGAAAAATCAGATACGAAAGACTGCGCATGATCAGAAACAATAAACAACAATAATCAACACTACAATGTTTTTACATTAAAAAAAAGCCTTTGCAACTTGAGGATTTTCATACAATTAGTACTATCCTTGGGTTCGACTTGCTGTGAAACATCAAGGAAAACCAGATGAATCATTTACCTGATTTTCTTATACCCAGCTTGAAATCCTTTTCTTGCAATTTATTGGTTCAGTTGTCTTGAGGAGGGAGGGTTGGAGGGTACAGGACACCAAAAAACAAAAGCACAAATCGCTCCACTCAGTAGACTTAAGGCTCAGGTGGGCTACTGTTTTACAGTATCTCTTAATCTCTGTCACAGGTCAGCTATAGAACTGATTTAGGCTCTGTTACAAGCTAATCTAGATTCTGTAAGCCTGGAATGGCAGCTATCTTTCAGTTTCTTCGGTCTATGTTAGTGGCTAGGGTAAGACACCCCAGATCTTATGCAAGGGGCCTGCAAGGCAATGACTGGACCTCTTTGCAGCTACATCCTCCCCATTCAGCAGTATAGTCTGGGATACAAAACAACCCTCCTAGAAGGTTTCTCCAAATATTTGTCCTCTTCCTTTGCACACATAACTGATATAAACAGTAATCGGCTAAAGCAGAATAAATATTAATAACCCTAATACATTGTATTTTCTCACTCTACCTACTGGGGACGCTCAATAGTAAAAGACAGATACAACAATACCCTTGGCCTTAAGAGAAACCTAAGGAACTCAGGTAGGACTGACTACAGCCTATCTGAAAACACTAAATTAGGACTAGGGACATTCCAGCTTAAGGCATTACTAAAAATTAACACAATACAATAAATCACCATCAAGAGATCCAGCTCAACTGACACTGCTGTCATGTGCAGAAGCTAACTAAAGATGCTAGAAAATGATGTTCACATGCAATCCAACCACATAAAGAGCTTTCTAATAAATGCTCTGGTAATATCAGTGTTAATGTCTGAACAAAAAAAATTATAATAAAGTAAAGCTGGAAGTCAATCAGAGAAACATTCTAGCATGAAAGACATTTGCTGTTTAAAATGCAACCAAAATACATTTTCTTAGGTAGGGATGTGATTCAGGTTTGGTTTGAACATGAGTTCGACCCAAACCCAGCCTGTTTAGAGTTTGTTGGCTAGGTGAACACATACTGCCTATATCTGGCCATTATTTCATGGTGGCAGGTCCTCGAAGTGGTGAGTCAGCATAGTCAGGCTTCTCTCTGGAATGACATGGATTTTTTTTTTTCTAATAAAGGTTTTTTTTCAACAGTGTAGCTGTGTTTTTATTTGTTTTGTTTTTGTTACTATTTACCCATTTTGTTTGTAACAAGTAACAAGGGGTACTATGGATCCCATACTCGTTCATGTAAGGGAAGGCTAGATATCTGAGCAAACTTTTTATAAGGCCAGGTTCACATCTGTGCATTTAGTGCATTTTCAGATGTGCATAAATACACCACAATCCATCTAACATTTTTTTCCTATCAGTCCCATTCACATCTATGCAGTTTCCTGCAGTGGTTTTTGGAAAAGACGCGGGGACTTGTTTACATGTAGCATGGTACATTTTTGGCTCCAAAGCCTAGAAAGCTTTAAGGAGGCTTCCAAATTAACACCTCCCCAGCAAACTCCAACACTCTTTTTGGGGCAGGCTGTGGGGATGAGACCATTGTCCCCTTCAACATGGAGAATATGTGCCTTGCAAGAGGGGCAGGTTTGGAAACCCCTTCTTGCAAAGTACCCTCCTAATGTTGCAGGCATGTGGCCTGGTATGGATGGGAAGGTGCACTCTAGCCTCCTTTCCTGGCCTGCGAGGGTATATTTAAAACGTTTAGGGAATTGCAGAACCATTTTTTTTCCCTTACAAACGTATACTGTCCTTATAAGAAAAAAAGTTGTAGGGTTCGCTTTATGATTCAATTCAGACCTTTATCCAAATAAATAAAAAATTAATGTGCTTCACCCAAATTAAAAAAAAAACATACAAAATACCAAAAACTAATAATTAAAGGTAAATCAGCAGCTACCTCATCAATAATAAACTTTCAATGTCAAATCAATAGTAAAAGAGCCCCTGCTTAAATGCATGCAAATCTAAACATGTGAATATCATAAGAAATATACAAAACATTCATCATAAATAAAATATAGTCCATAAAAAATTGATAAGTCAATGATTAAACCCCTAAGATGTAAATTAATATCTTCCTACCATCATTGTGCTGATAAAGTAGAAATCAAAAACACCCAGTGACTTATTCCATATGGGAATAGCTCGCAAACACAATCAACCCTCAAGATTAAAGGAAGGTCTGAAAGTGCTTTTGTATAATCCACTCCAGACTGCCATCCTCCTATATGAATCCAGATCACAGACGGATACATCAAGATGGAAATCCCATATGCATGGAAATAGAGGCCAACAGTGAAGTACCGCTTAAAAACCTTTTTATTAAAAACTAAAAGGTTACTGTCACATAGGCAGAAAAAGTGTCAGCATGTCATAAATCCCACAGAACACTACAAACTCACACTCTAGTGACACAAACCAGGCACTCCCGTAGCTTAAAAGTATGATGATGACACTGGGAACTTGCCCAATTTCATTTACTTCTTGGGTGTTTAACCACTTGTCTACAGGGCACTTACACCCCCTTCCTACCCAGGCCAATTTTCAGCTTTCAGCACTGTTGCACTTTGAATGACAATTGCGCGGTCGTGCAACACTGTATGCATATGAATTTTTTTATAATTTTTTTGAGACAGATAGAGTTTTCTTTTGGTTGTATTTAATCACCTCTGGTTTTTTTATTTTTTGCTAAACAAAACCAAACACTTTTGAAAATTTTGAAAAAAAAAGTTTCTTAGTTTCTGTTATAAAATTTTGTAAATAAGTGATTTTTCTTCTTCACTGATGTGCGCTAATGAGGCTGCAGTGATGGGCACTGATAGGCGGCACTGATGAGGAGGCACTGGTAGGTGGCACTAATGGGCATTGACAGGCATCACTGATGGGCACTGAAAGGCAGCACTCCTATATGCACTGATAGGCGGCACTGACTGGCACTGTTAGGTGGCACTGATAGGCAGCACTGACGGGCACTGATAGGCGACTTCTGATGCACACTGATAGGCGGCACTGACTGGCACTGATAGGTGGCACTAATTGGCAGCACTGACTGGCACTGATAGGTGGCACTGAAAGGCAGCTCAGATGGGCACTGATATGTGGCATTGATGTGCACTGGTAGGCACTATGTGGCATTGATGTGGCACTGATGGGCACTGGCAGGTGGCATTGATGAGCACTGACAGGTGGCATTGATGGGCACTGACAGGCGGCACTGATTGGGCTACACTGATCATCAGGGCACACTGATCATCAGTGCCCTGATGATCAGTGTACATGTCCCCTCTCCTTATTTACATGCGATCAGCTGTGATTGGACACAGCTGATCACATGACAGAGCCGCCGTCTTGGGCTCTTTCCATTGATCATGATCCGCTGTGTCCCAGGGATACAGCACACCACTGATCACCGCGCTGTGCACCCCCAGGGTGCACGTCATATGACATCCTCCCAGAACGAGAGAACCGCCTGGTGCCCGTCATTTCCTTATATGGCGGGCGGGAGGCGATTAATAATAGACTTTTGGAAGTTTTATAGACTATATTTTATAAATAATGAATGTATTGCATATTTCTTGGTATGATATTCACATGATTATATTTGAACAGGTTTAAGAAGACCCTTATCCAGTCAGGCAGCCTGACTGGCTGGGAAAGAGGTGGAGCAGCAATCATGCACCCTTATACTCTTTAACCATAATGGGCCACATACACTCAACATTGGAAGGTTACCTTGCAGTAAGTACAGAGTATATACTGTACAGTATTTCCCCTTGTTACTCATTCACCAAGAAATATTAAAAAAAAGTAAATTAAAGTATACTATGAAAAAAGTCCTTCATTGAAAAAATGTGAATCAAATCTTAATCACATCATTCAGCAATATCGATCCAAATAAAATGAGTAGAGCTGATGATGTTGACCCACTGCCAAGACAGTGCTACCCTTCCACTACTCCATTTGCAAATGTCAGCTTCCTGACACTGCTGGAATGCATCACCCAGGATCCCTGGTGCTGTTGTTTACATGCTGTTTATAAACACGCCAGCGGGAATCTGTCATTTAAAGGCAGTAGAAATACAGATGACAGATCACAATTTAGCACATTTGTTGTTGAGTATTGTTGCTGAGTTTGCCAAACTTCCTACTGACTGAATATTGCCCAGTCTGCTAATCCATAGATCTAGGAAGGCCGTACATTATACATTTTTTTTTCATTCAACCAGCGGGTTGAAAGAAAATAAATAATTTTATTCCCCGATCCACACATTTAAGGTGGATGGAGGAATTATTCCCACTGTGCTATTGTATTTCCATGTTATGGGAGCCTTCCTCACTGTCAGAACACAATTATCAGTGTTGTCGGCTATAGCCAGCGGCATTGATCATTCAGAAAAAAAACAGGGTGGTTGTGCAGAAGCTGATTTATAGATTGACTTCTGTACAACCAGAGTGCCCATAAATGGATTGAAATTTGGCCAGTCCCTGCTAAACCAGCAGAATTTCTATCCATGTTTGGCCAGCTTTAGGTAAGAGAATTTTTCAAAACTCTGAGACATGGCAGTAAAGAATGATTTCCTCCTGGAACGCTCTAGGAAGGTGTTGAGAAGATTATGCTATCTACGGTACTTATGACATTTGTCACCATTGATATTTATTAAATCATGCAATGGCAATACTATCAGAATGGTAAATCCCTGTGAGAATGTGTGAGAAATTTGATAGATTGAATATACAATATTTCTAGCATGTGCAAATACTCCAAATGTTTCAGTTTTGTATTTCAAGCTGTTATTTTTCAGTATCAATTTTAATAATTCATTTCATATATATCCTGGCCTCTATCAAAGGTAAAGAATCTAAGTGCTTGATAAATGTAACAATTCCTGGTAGCATGAATCACTATAAGCTGTTTTCACAGTTACGTGGCATTCACAAAAGACTGAGAAAGACCAACATATATATACATAAACAGTATTTAAAGGTTGTGTCCTTACATATGCACAGTAGTATGAGGGAAAGAGTATGTATGTGTGTGAATATATATATATATATATATATATATATATATATATATATATATATATATTAGAGAGAGAGAGATCAAAGGATGGATTGCAGGACAAGTATTCAACTATACATTGTAGCAATGTGATTGCTGATTAGTTTGAATATAGAACTTAAAATGATGGTTTGCAGCAAAGTTTTTTTTAAATCTTCTTTATCAGAGGTAAAAGTTTGGTAATACTCCTGTTGCTTAGTTGTGCACACTATCCTACAAATGGACACAGGTGCTTCTTCAGCCATTGACTTTGTTATTTTATATATATTGTGACAGTATGGGTCCCTGCCACTGTGAAAAGGGAAGTAGATATGACAGTGGGTTCACATGTATGCTGAGTGCGGGGCTCCAGAATATTGATTCTGAATAAAGAAAGGTAGTATTTTAACTTTCTCTGGGGTTGGTATTTCTGGATTGGGTTCTGCAGTTTGGAGATTTCGAAGAGTTTTGGGAGGGAAGAAATCGCGAACCCAGTGTCCAGGTCTTGCAAGGTATCGGAAGGCTGTGGCAGATAATCTTCATTTTTTTATATTTGGGGTCATACTGAAGACTGCATGGACAGTCCGTGTCCTGTTCTGTCAGGACACTTTAGTTTGGACAATGAAAAATCTGTATGACATGCTAGGACAGCTGAATAGCCTTATAAAATGGAACTTCAATCTCTAAATCAGAAAATATGTAATATTTTCTTGTTTTAAACTGTTTTTTTCTTCAGTTACTTCCTAGTTGCCATGCCTAGGCAAATGGTGTCATAATGAATGAGAACCAGGGGCTGGGCCCACAGATTCAGAGGGTACACGATGCCACACAGACAGAGTACGGAGCATCTGTAACAGCGTCCTGTTGAAACTTTCACAGGCCCCGTTGCCCTGTGGGGGGTACGGGGTCATCCTTGACTTCTCAATCCCATACAACTGACACAGCTCTCCCATTAACTTTCCTTGGAAGCAAGCTCCTTGATCGGAATGAATCCGCTTCAGACATCCGTACACCTGGATGAAGTGTTGGCACACTGCACGGGCAGCTGAGTCTGCCATCTGGTCACGGGTAGGTATCGCCACGGAGAACTTTGTAAAGTGGTCAGTCATCACCAGGCAGTATTGGTGGCCCCTCACCGACTGGCCGATCAAGATGTAATCAATCATTAGTATCTCCAATGGTGCAGATGTTTTAATCACTTGAATTGGGTCTCTCTGTTAAGGAGGCTTCGCCAGCTCACATGCTTGGCACTTCTGGAACACTTCACGGACAATCCGCTCCAACTGCAGACAATATACAAATCTCTGTACCCACTTGTATGTCTTCTCCGCTCCGAAGTGGGCACCCTTTTCATGTCCCTCGAGGGCCACTCTACAGGCCAGGCTACTGGGTATCACTATTTGCCACCTTTCTTCAAGATCTGTAGGTAGAAACACCCTCCGGTGCATTATTCCATTTCAGATTCGTAGCCGATCCCACTGCTGCAGCAGCTTCCATCCATCTGAGGACAAGCGACTTCTCTCTTCCAGCTTGGGCCATAGGCCAGTCTCCACCCAATGTTTGATCTTTTTTAAGTCAGGATCATCTTCTTGCACCTGAGCCCATTCCTCTTCAGTCTTCCCCAGTAACACTGTGTTGAAGGTGGCCACCCCACTTGAACTGGCCAGGGGTGACTGCTAAGGCACTCTGCCCAGATCGGGTATCTCAGTCCCTTCATCCTCTTCATCCACCTCACCGGCTGGGACTTTCCAGGTGACTCTAGACAGTGCATCCGCATTTGCGTTGTCCTTACCGGCACGGTATTTGATGGTATAATCAAACTTCGCTAGCCTTGCCATCCACCTCTGTTCCAAGGTGCCCAGCTTCGCATTCTGCAGGTGAGCCATGGGTTATTGTCTGTCCTTACTAGGACTTTTGCTCCGGTGAGATACCCTGAGAACTTTTCAGTCATTGCCCAGACCAACGCCAACAACTCAAGTTTGAAGGAACTATAATTGTCCAGATTGCGTTCAGAGTCCCGTATGGATTGGCTAGCATATGCAATGACTCGTTCCTGCCCGTCTTGCTCTTGGGCTAGCACTCCTCCCAATCCATGCAGACTTCCATCCGTGTAGAGTGTGAATGGTCTGTCATACCAAGCATATGCCAGGATGGGGGCACTAATCAGGGCTTTCTTCAACTCATCAAACGCTTGCTGCTGAGGCAGTCCCCATGATATGGGTCGTGTCTTCGGACCCTGGGCGGTCAAGAGTTCGTGTAGTGGTCCAGCGATCTTCGCAAAGCCTTTGATAAATCTTCGATAATACCCAGCCAATGCTAGAAATGCTTTCACTTCTCGAAGTGTCTTGGGTTGTGGCCACTCGCACACTGCCTCTATCTTACTCTCCGCGGACAAACTCTCTCAGCTGATACGACGTGTCCCAGATACTCTAGGCTTGTTTGGAAGAGATGACACTTCCTCGGTTTGATCTATAGACCATGAGCACGGAGCCTACTTAGCACTTGCCGTAATCTTCTCAAATGTTCTTCAAACTTAGGGGCATGGACTACTACGTCATCCAGGTAGATCAGAATCGACTCAAAGTTCAGTTCTCCCAGGCAGTGTTCCATTAGGTGTTGAAATGTACCCGGAGCATTCGTCAGCCCGAAGGGCATTCTGTTGAATTCATACAGGCCCATGGGTAAGATAAAAGTCGTCTTCTGTCTATCCTTCTCTGCCACAGGTACTTGCCAGTAACCACTCGCCAAGTCTAGAGTGGAGAAGTACTTGGCCCGCTGTAATGTTGTCAATGACTCTTCAGTCCTGGGCAGGGGAAAAGCATCCTTTACTGTGGCAGCATTTAACTTTCGATTAATCCACACAGAATCGCAAGGACCCATCTTTCTTCCGCACCAAGACCACTGGGGCCCACGGGCTTTGGCTCTCCTTTTACCACTCCACTGTCTAACATCTGTGACAGCATCGTTTTTCACTTCTTGGTAGAGGGTAGGCGGGATCTGCCGGTACCTTTCTCGAATTGGGGGAGTATCCCAGTCGGTATTTCATGTTCTATAGCCCGTGGTGCACCCGAAGTCCTCTTCACACCGGGAAAAGGTAGATTGAAATTCCCACAGTACTGCTTCAATCTTCTCCATTTGTTCAGCGGTGAACTGTTTCGCATCAATCTCCATTTGCTCCAAGATCTGATGGCCATTTCACTCCGGGGTGGGTTCCTCCACCGTGTTCTGGGCCACTGCCAAGGTCCAGACGTCATTTTCAACAGCCCGTAGGGCGAATTGGCTACCTGCGAGTGGTTCTCCTTGAAGCACATATAACTCAGCCACTTTTTCTCCAGCATGGAAGGTAACTTCATGGTTGTGTATGTTGACA